CTCATGAACATAAGATGAATGTACCCCCTTACAATTTTAAAGCCTACCTATTTAGGGAATTCATCTACATCACCAGTCTTTATATCTTCAGATTTGACTCAATCACAAGAAGAACCTAAATTGAATGATGAAATCAGTAAAAGATCTCCTAGGAAAGAGTTATTAAAAATCACTAAAAAATGATATATTTCATGGTATACAGACAAAATGAATGAGATTCTGATGCTCGGGAAACCAATGTATACATTGAATACATCGGGTCGTCGATGTTATACCAAGCACTTCGTGGGAGGCAACACATGGTTATCTTTGTTATCTTTTTAGTGTGATCGTTGTTATGTTAGATTGGATATTAGTGAGATGTTGGACTTTGATTCGTGTTTGATGTGTAAGAGTGGATTGGATTAATGTTGTGAGGTAATTCCTTCATCATGACTAGATTTGTATATGATTTTTGGTAATAGCAGGTTGACGAGTCTGTTATGTCTTAGTTCTCAAGAGGAGCCGAGCATGACCTTGAAGCATGTAGAGTTTAGACTTAGACCACTCCATGTCAACTGTTTTACTTCCTTTATCTGACTTTGTCTTCACTGAATAAGTTCATGAACTTACTTAGTGAACAACATCTGGATGAACTGCACTATTTTTATTTATCAGAGTGTGTAGACCTTAGACTTGAAATAGGCAACACATGAGGGAATTCTAGTCCATGGATGATAACCATATAAAGTATTATAATACACCCACTTTATTAGTGTAGTTTCTTCCGTTAGAAATTGAAAGTAAGGAGGGGAAATGTGAGTAGAAGGGAGATCAAATTAACCTCAGTCGTTATTTGTTTATGAATCTGTGAGTCTATGTATTGGAGTTTGTGTGTCTATGTTTGTATGTCAAGTTAAATGAGTTTTAGCAAAACGAGGGATTAAACTTCAGCCCATATCCAACTAAAGTGAACAAGAAATATATTATTCACCATTAAATCAAAAATAGAAGCTAACCTTGCTCAAGATGTCACCCGAATTTCAACTCCAACACTTCCAAAAGATCTCAAGCACACACATGAGATGAATCAACTAGAGAGAAAAAAAAGGCAGCACCTCCCCCTCTCCCAGAATTTTTGTTCAACCCCATCCTTCCCCAAGAAAGGCTTTTATATCCAAGAAAGGAGGAGAAAGCTTCCCTATACTTACCAAATCGCATCAAGGGGCGACAAGGAGCATACGATAAGATTGTGATAGGGGATGGCGTAGGCATGTGATGGGAGTGAGAGCACAGGGGCAAGTGATAAGCAATGCAACAGAAGATGGGCGCAGGCGTGCAACTCGAGGTATCACGACTGAGAGGGAGCTTTGGGAGAGGGTTCACGAGCTGGAGGGAGTCTCGGCTGGGTCAGTAGCGAATGGGAGTGGGAAAGGAGGCGTGAGCGAGCGATTTAGGAATTGGGGATTTAGGATTTAGGGATTTATGAAAAAGAATTCCCTTCTTTTCATTAATTTTGTGCTATTTTCTATTAAAAATCCCCCGATTTGTGCATATTTGCCTGTGCATAAAACCATAGCAAAATTGATGTCCTTTTCAAGTAATTTTGATGTTCCAAACATGCCAGTGCAGCTCGTTTCGTAATCCGAGGTCGTTTGGACAAACTTGTCGATGATCGGGTTGAAAACGCGTCAAACTCGATTTTCGTCAAAAAATTTGGTTTGAGCTCAATTGTTTGATCAAGATTGTGTAGATGGTTGTCACAACATGTTTAGAAAATACTTTGAGTGATTTTGAATTGATTTGAAGGGTCAATTTGAGGGATTTTGGGCATTTGATCAATCTGGGTATGTTGGGCTAGACTTGGACTTGGGTTTAGTCCAAATTGATGGTTGAAAATGGTCTAGGGGAATGTTATGAAGTGTTCTCAACATTAATTGGGTGTCAATTTTGGGGTTTGGGCATTAAATTTGGTAAAGTTTGGAGACATGGATAAATTGAGGAAAATTTGGAGGTTTTCATTTAGGTTGAAATCGGGCTCAAAGTATGGGTCAATTGGGTTGAGAATTGGTTTGAATTGAGTTTGATCATGATGAATTTAAGTTTAAAATTGAAATTGGGGGAAAAAAATTGGGGGAAATTGAGATCAAATTAAGTTCAATTGAAGAGTCCAAATTGGTTTCGAGGACAAAATGCTGAGTTGGGTATTTTTGTGAAATTGAGGTGCTAACCACCCGATTTTGCCATGGACTAATGAAATCCCCTAATTTGGGTCCTTCATGTACTGGTCTGGGCTAGACTCTAGCCTAGGGCTAGTGGGTCTAGGGGACCATCTACAGGAGTCTCCGAAAAGATTAAGGGATGAAAGTCAACAAGTTGGGTTTAGGGTTGTGAGTGAATAGGGGTGAGAGTGAGTGACAGTGAGTGCAAGTGGGTGTAAGTGAGTCGACCCTAAGGTCAAGCAGTCCTATGGGAACTCTCCTTGAGTTCCCATATAGTGGCCCCACCTACTAAGTGCTAGAGGTTAGGAACAGTATATGAAACTTCAAATTGAGTACAAAAGAGACCATAAAGCAAACTAAGTTAGAATTTCTAATGGTGAGGGTTCCACAACACTAGAACACTGACACATTCTAAGAGAAGTTTACAGGAAAGTCCTATGGCTAGATCCTAGGCTACTGAAGAAGAAAAACTAGACCTCAACCAAAAGTGAGGTCAACAATACCCTTATTTACGGTGCAATATCACCAAATTTAAGCATAAAATGAATAAATAAAATTACACATTATTTTAGTGTATCACTAACTTATCTAAGCTTCACCTGCAGTCCATTAACCACCTGAGGGCCAACTCCCTCAGCATGGTGAAGAGCATGCAACACTTCAGGGTGTCGTTAATCCTCAACAAAAATATAGTTGACTCAAAGAAGACAATATAGTTGGTCAGATTATTTTGTTACTTATAAGACTCCAACAAGGGGATTTTGAATTTCTCTAAGGGCTCACCATAAAAAATCTTTTGAGAGAACGCATTCTCGGGGTAGTGGGGAGCCTCCGTACTTCTAAATAAATATTTATCCATCGATACAGACACATTATTAAAGGGGATTTTGAATTTCTCTAAGGGCTCACCATCAAAAATCTTTTGAGAGAATGCATTCTCGGGGTAGTGGGGAGCCTCCGTACTTCTTAATAAATATTTATCCATCGATACAGACACATTATTATCATGGTACTGAGAATCTTCTAGTCTGTTGGGGGCTTGAGTTACCCTTCAGTCGTTGTACACCGATGCTTCCTCATGGGGGTTATGCTTCAGACCTCTTGACACTGCTTCTTGAATAACCTCCAACACCCGACTCATCATTTATTCTTATAGCTCTTGGATTTTTTGATGTAAGAACTCCTTAGTGCACTCCGTGTTTGCAGTGTCCCTTTGGTGGGTTTCTACTCCTTGTAGTGCTCCTCTTCTCATTGTTGATATGATCCACACTCACCATATTTTTTAAGATATTGAATCCAAATTTATCACATGAATCACACCCAAGTGATATAGCGTTAAACATGATAGAGAGAGAGAGAGTGCAATAAAGAACCGAAGAATGAGATAATTTCTATTAATTCAATTATTTGCTTTTACTGTAGAAATGAACTCCCTATTTATAGGAGAGGGGTTTCAAAGTGCATAATTTCATTCTTACCCCTACTTTAACAGAGTTGCTATAAGGTATTTTGGGTATTTACCTAAATGAGCATATGACTTAGCTATCCTATCTATCGGTCGATTGAGATTAGCAATTTTTGAGAAGGCAATGCTCCTTTGGCCAGCTATGCTGAGTTCGGGCTATTGATTGGCTCTGGTTGATCTTCGATCTTTCGGACTTGCTTGATCGACTTGATTCAACCAGACAGTTGTGCTGGTTAGGCTATCAACTATCTACCCCAAGATGAAGAGCTCCTATTGCTAAGATGAGAACAGGTTGTCGGGCAAATGATGAATCACCGCAATGTGACAGGTAGCACACCCTTTGACAGAAGATCCTTTTGGGACTTCACGGAGTGTATCAGAGTGAGAACCTTCGATCTTATGATGAAGAGTCCCGGAGACTCTTAAGAGGCAGCTGGTGATGTTAGGGTGAGAGTTTAGTTGATGCCTTCTCTCGTCTTAATATATCATTGTCTTTGGCTGAGATGATCTTCGTTCGACCGGCTTTAGGTCCTGACCCAAAGAATCTATACTTTGTCAATCAGGGCTTTGACCTTCTAGTGATGGGACATTTGGTCATCTTTTTTGGGCCATCTCTGGCCATACTTTACTTTCTTTTAATTCGTTAGATCTCCTCAAGATTTGTGCTGACACATTTCTAATATACAATTGCTGATTTTTCAATCTTTTTAATAATTTTTTAATCTAATATATAAAATTTGAATGAGAAAATTATTACTATAATTAGAATCCATTACATGTGGGCCTGATAATCACGAATGTTACTGTGGGGATAGCCTGAAAACCAATGAAGCCATTGACACGACCTTCAGCGGAGTTCGATGGAGCTTTGTTGTTGAACATATCGGCTACTCCAAGATGCAAACCCTTTCAATAAATATAATTACTTAATTAAATTTTTTGCCAAATTAAGTTTTTTTAAAATAAAACTTATGAGATCACATTACATAATTTTGATTTTATAAATTTTTAAAATTGTAATTTAAACATACTTTATTCATTTAATAATACTTTAAAACTATTTTATCTTAAAATTTTGCAAATTTTTTCCACCAATCTACTCATATTATTTGCATCTCATAATTTTCTCGCTTTTGGAGTAAGTTTTTGATACTTATAAATTCTAAGAACTTGTTCCAAGTTCCAAGTTCCAAGTTCCAACTATAAATTCAAAATTAAAATAAATAAATCAGATAATTAAAAATTTAATTTTTAAATCCTTCCACTTATACCCCGTGCCATATTTTAATTAAATTACAAAACAACAGAAAAGAATAGAGACTTTTCTGCTGTTCTTCTAATTCGGAAAACATTCCTCGCGCTTGTTGGCGCTTTCCCTCGTCTGTGTCACTCCCCCTCCCTCTCCTTCTCTCTTTGAACCACTCTGCACTGAGATTTCGAGGGCTCCTGCTTGTTGGCATGGTCTAAAGGATCGAAAGAGAACAGGTAAGTTTTGATTTCTTTTTCTTTTAGCTCTAGCATTTTCGAATATATTGAAGAAAATAGATTATGCGTGAAGGAATGGTGTATTTTGTTTGGGCTTCTTGAATGTAATTTCAATTCATGTCTCTCTGTTGTAAATCTGCAACCTCAAGATTCTTGATATTTTATTTTTAGGCTTCATTGGTTTCTAAATTGAGTTTGCTCTTCTCTTCTCTAAGCATTGTTTAATTTTCTTTTCTTTTCTTTTTTTTGAATGAATTAAGGGAACAGAATCTTTTACCAAGGAATCGACTCCATTTTAATGTACGGAAGAATATTGTTGCTCACTTGTTTACAAAACGAAGCTTACAATTTCCCAATGTATCACTGACAATTGCTATTGATATGCCATGCACGGACCTTGAACTCCGGGAATTGTTGGGTAATGTGGTATGAACTCAAACTAGGTTTCAGAGGCTTTAATGAAAGAAGGCCCATTGTGTTTTACTGGGATTTGATTTTCTTGAAATTGAAATGTGAGCAAACTTTTTTCCAGCTATTAACGGAACACCGAGAACTTCAAATATCCAAAAATTGTATCTGTAATTATTAATTAGATGAAATTAAGTATTGAAAAAAATTAATTATATCATTTGATATAGAGAAACCATTGTGTAGAATGTTGCAGTTGTACCAAAATAGTCTCAATGTAGGTTCATCATGTTCTTATGATGTAATCATTGTTTAGGCGTCTGAAATCTAATAGAGACGTACCGTAGACTTCTTGTGATTTCAACCAATCCAAAGCAAAACAGCCTAAGTTAATAATATCTTGACTTACCTTGCTTTATTTCCTGCAGACAATTGATGTATTTGTAGGTTTTATATTTGCCATAATCTTAACACATCTGACAAATGAATGTCTCTACTATGCCCCTCTAGTTCTCAACAATTGCTTTCGACCTCTTAAGGACATTTTGTTTAGATTTAGGGCCAACTTGATTTGATTCAAGAATTTGGAAGTTTTAGGAGCCATGTTCTAGAAGAGTGTTTTATTGGTGTGAGTTTCGATGATGTTTGTTTGTTTTGTATGAGCAAGCTTGTTGCAATTTTTTTCTTAATGTCATTTGTGACTACTATGTCTTTTAGTTTTTATCATTATTTCACTAATAATATAATGTTACTGTTGCATGCTCAAAGTTCATCGTTGTAGCAAATGAGAGTTTTCTCTCTTAGTTTGGTATAAAAATCCCTCGCATATAAATAGAAAAGGTGAGAGCAGCTTATAGAAGACATTAGTTTTTTTTTCTTACATTAAAACATAGAAAAAGGAAAAAACTACGAAGCTTGGTCCAGTTGAAATGATTATATTAGTGAATTTCACAAGTTATACATGATGTCTTGATCCACATTTTGAAAAAAATTTCATACAATATAATATACATGAATTGTGGAGGATGACATTCATGTTAGAAGTTCAAGGAGACTTGATGCATTGTAGTTATCATCCATAAAATTTTTATGGTATTCCTGGACATTCTCCCTTTAGGAGGGAAGACTAGAGATCAATAAATCTTTTAATCTCTTAGGGAATACAATGAGGGAATGAGGGTGGGTGCCTTATCTCAGGGCCTTCTCTATGCATATAGATCTATACTTAGACCTCTACTACAATTCTAAGGCTCTAGAGAACAAGAAATGCGGCATAGAGTATGCATGTATATATACGTACATCCTGTTAGTTCTACTTGTATGGATGTATACTACGCAAAATCCACAAGCCGTTTCAGTTGGGGCACCCCCCAGATGCATTGTATGCTGGCCAAAAAGTGTTAGCGCAGAACTAAAATAGATGGAAGATATACTTGTTGCACCAAGTACTGGAAGAAATGGAGAACGAAAAATTGGTTTATTGATATACCAAGAAAGGACCCATGAAAACACCTGTAAAATTCGCAAATCCAAACAGATAATGGGAGCTTGAGTATGGCCCAATGTATCCTTACCTCTTATCTCTGGTTTTAGGAAGGGAGCTGCTAATAAATGGTTGAGTTTTTTGTCATTACCCGAAGCAACCAAGGTATCATCCATAACCAAGGTATCATCTATTAAGTTCCTGAGTTCCAGTAGATCTTTATTCTTCTTCTTCTTCTTCTTCCTACATGTGTAAACCTACCAATCCTCATCCGAAAACTGACTCATCTGATTAGTGTATTGGTCAAAAAATTGCCAGACAGGTGTAGGCTGTTGCACAACAAAATTTCCTTGTGCCTGATTGACAGTAAAAACTTGTTTGATCTGATCAGCTGGTAGGCCTGCAGTAGAAAGTTCACATAGGGCAAAATTTTGAGCTTGAAGCTGGGGCAAAGCCTCCTCATCCACTACTAACTGAGGTTCCATAGGAGGTATAATAAGTGAGCATTTCCCTTCAAGGAGTAACGGAGCAGGCCTCAAAAGCTCCTCCAAAGGTGAAAAGTAGTCCCCCCCAGGGATAATTAAACCAGACACCAACTCCTGTCTTGTGGAAAATTCCTCCACATATGGAGTTGAAGTATCCAAAGCAATGGGGTTAGACAATTCCTTGTGTAGTATATGTGTGTGTGTGTGTGTGTGTGTGTGTGTGTGTGTGTGTGTATTGAAAAAGCTCAAGGGCTAATATATTAAAAAAAGAAAAGATAAAGATAAGCAGTATGAAAGGGCCCAAAAAAGGCACCCTACCAACATGGTACAAAACACACAGAGGTCCATAAAAGAAAATATACATGTAAACCTAAAAAATTAGAACTGTCAAATTGCAAAATCAAGTAGTTAGAGAACGACCCAATTTAGTCCCGCCTCTTTCTCTAGTTCTAGGAAGGGAGTCAGCTAACAAATTGTTGAGTTTTGTGCCATTACTCGAAGTAACCAAAGTATCATCCATTAAGTTCCTGAACTCGAGTGCGCCTCCATTCTTCTTCTTCCTTCTGGATGTGTAAACCTGTCATTCCTCATCCGAAGATTGACTCATCTGATCAGTGTATTGGTCGACAGATTGCCCGACATGTATAAGCTGATGAGCCCCTTGAGCCCCTTGTGCCTGACCAACAGTAACCATTTGCTCGATCTGATGAGGTGGTAGAGGCACAATAGAAAGATTGTCAACCGTTGCAACAATGATAGACTCTAGGGTATGTGAAGTATGAAATGACTCCTCTGCACATGAGACTTCCCAAAGATGAGGAGCTGCGACGCCTTCCTGATGAGATGAACCATCCGGCAACACGTCACTCATAGAAACATAAACAATATTATCAGGGGGTGGGTCTCCGGTAGTAAGAGGGTTATAGGTGGCAATGACGGGAGAAATGGTAATTAGAAGAGGGAGAATGGGAGGAAGAGCAGATGACATTTAAACCAATGTTTCAATAGACAGTGGATTGTACTTAGGGGTGGAGGAGGGATAGGTGTGAGTTGGGGCAGGGGGCATTATAACATTTTTTCTTTGAGGTTTTAAATGAGGGTGCAAATGGTGACATTGAAAGTGAGAGTGTTCAAACATACGATAGTGGGTGCAGTAAAGTGGGATCTCTTCAAGTTCCACCCGCAACCAAAAAATCTGGTGCTGTGAGCCAATCCAGATCTCCCCCAGAAAGGGAAAAGTAATGTCTAGTTCAATCAAACTATGGCTTCAGAAGGCCGACTCCGATTAACTATAGGAATATCAGTTGTGAGGGGTTTACCATAGACCATAGCTAAGGAGTAGAGGAACTCGTGATTGAATAGATAGAACTTCAAACCCGGGAAATATTACCATATAGGAATGATAGGAGTTTAAGTGAAAGGATCAAAGTCGGCCGTCCATTTTAAAACTTTCATCACACGGTCATCAATTCGAACGAGCCTTCTCACAAACAAATGAGCATAATCTTCATCATCTGATAATTGGATAAGAACATGCCTACCATCCAGTTTACCAATCTTCTATACTCCTTTCAGAGGCATTTGCTCAAACTCTTTTCGAATTACATCGAATTTAGGGTTATATATATATATATATATATATATATATATT